CCTATAGTGGGGAGATAAAAAGAACACTTCCCCAAAAAAAGAAAAGCGGCTTGCTATCAGCAGTTGTACTTTGAACAGTTTTTTGGGACCATAGGAGCTGATGAGGACATTGAAGTACTTGAGAGATTAGAGATATTATTACATGAAATGGACAATTTTGCTGGAGACAATGGGGTTATTTGTGAGCAGGTGGCATGGTGGCTGAGGCACTGGACTCCCACATGGCCAACCATGGTTCGAGTCTCAGACCTGGTAGATTGCTTTCTCACTTTCTCTCTCTTGCTCTAACTTTCTCTGGTGAGCACATGTGCCTTTCAGCAAATTTAAAAAATAATAATGAATAAAATTAAATTTAAAAGATAAAAAAAGAAGAAGAAACCTAAAGTATGGGGGAGAGGCTTTCAATAGACAATGGGAGTCAGGAAAATCTGGTACTTTCCCACTAATCATATATATATATATGTATATATATGGCCTTATACAGGTCATGATAAGCCAAAGAAAACTTTCTATGTAACTGACTTTTTTTTCTCTTCTCATTTCCTCATTTAGTATCTGAAATGCTGTTTGTCCCACTTCTCAGTGACAAATCTTGTCGTTGGGTACTTGAATACACAGACTAAGAGTGTATAGATGCTCATGGGTGAGGAGTCAGGGCTCCTGACATTTGATATGGGCTGTGGAGAAAGTTGTGCAAATGCAGCAATGCTTCTAGTTTAAGAAGTAGCAGGTCTTGGAACTTAGAAATGAGGGATCCAGGCCCAGAGTTATTCTAGATGTGACTTAAAACTTTAAAAACTATTCAGTGTCTTTGCATGGAATTTCCTGGAGATTGGTAAGAAGGAGACCAAAAACTGAGGAGGGGGACAACTACTAAAATTTAATTTGGAAAATTAAAATTTCATGAGGAGCATGAAAAAACTAAAAGGAAAAATAAAAATAAAAAACAAGAGAAGTCCAGCAATCACCAGTTGGAAAATAAATTCACTCAGGAAACAAAAAGAGGACAATTTCAATATGAATTTATATTAAGTATATTTAAATTCCTTAAAGAAATAAATGAAAGAATACCATCCATAAGAAGAATGTAATAGGGTGAAATTTTAAAAATATACCAAGTCTATATACATCAAGAAGAGATAGATATGATACATAAAAATTAGAATTCAGGAAAACAAAAGACATAAACACTGAAATAAAGTTTTTACACTGAATGCATAGAAAAATACTAACACCAGGGTTGAGTTGAACATAGTACCTAAAGAATAAGCAAATTGGAAAGTAGTACTAAGAAAATTCCCCCAGAAAACAGAAGAGAATGAGAGGAAAAACACAAAAGTAACCAAAGAATAGGACATTATTTTGAGTGGTTGCAACCACTAAATGTTCAAAAAAACAGAATGAAAGAAACTCCAAATGTGAAAAAGTAACAAGGGATAAATTTCCAAAACTGGAGCAGGATATTTGTTTTGTTTTAAGTTCTAAAATCAGAAAGAGATCCAAATAGAGTAAATAAGAAATCAATTAATTTTTAGGTGCATTGTGGTCAGTATGCAGACTTTGAAGATTTTATTATCTCACAGTAACCACAGAGATAAAGCAGATTATGTGTCAATGATGTCACAGGACACAGGAAGCTCCCGAAACTGTTTCCCCTCAGCCTGGTTTGCCTTTCTGGACATGCCCCAGGGCCTGGCCACATGCTTGAGCTTCTGATCTGGACAGGAGGGAGCTTGAATGTGACACTGTGTCATAAGAAGCTCTGGCCCCACAATTCCTCAGAAAATCCTGAGGCAACCATGGAGGTCTCTGTGGAGCAAGTCTTCACATGTGAGCATGGTTTGTGCATGTGTAGTAGGACGGCCTGCATGATCTCTGAAAAGGCTGACTGGGCTGATGGAAGGGGTCTTGGAGAGAGCAAAGCAGAATAGAGCCAAGTCCATTAGCCTTTCCTCACTCAAGATTGGATGGTCCAGACCTCCAGGTAACTAACGTCAGCTCTCTTAGGCTCCAGCTTCCTGACATGAGCTCCCCAGACTTTTCTAGGGATTCCATTTCAGAGTGGACAGGCATCAGGTGACATATATCCTGTATGACATGGGTTGAGATGGAAATGGGGCTGGTAGGAAAGGGGAAATGAAGATTCCCAAGTTCCCACCTGAAGGTGTGAGCTGAAAACTCACAGATCCTGAGTGTAGCACTAGCCTTAAGCTGGGTCTATAAGACTCCTGTCCTGCTCCCCAAAGCCAAGATAGGCAAAAGTGATTTCATATAACACATCTTATCAATACCATGATAAACAAAATCACATCGCCACTTCAACACATGCAGAAAATAAATTTGAGGAGATGCATTATTCCTTCATAATGAAAACATTTTTAAAAAATAGGAATAGAAGGGAATATCCTCAAACTAATGAAGAGTGTGTAAACAATTTACAGGTAACATCACACTTAAGGGGAAAGCATACAGACTCATGTTCTAACATCAGGAACAAGATAAACATAGCCACTATCATCACTTCTGCTTGCCAGTGTACAGAAAATGCCAGCAAGAAAAATTTGGCAACAGAAATAAATTAAAGACATTTATATTTACATCAGCAGTTGGCATGGTGGTTAAGGTGCTAGATCCCACATGGCCACCTCTGCAGTTCAAGTCCCTGGCCCACCAAGTTGAAAATCACATTGGGCATGTGTGTGTGTGTGCCAAAATCCTGAGAGGAAAATGGAGTAGTGACTGTGTAGCATGGCCATCCACCCTGAGGGATGATTTCTTACTTTATCTGTGTGTATCTCTCTGTGATGAGTGCCTGTGCCTTAAGGTAAAAATCTTTTTTAAAATAATAATAATGAATAAATAAATTTAAAAGACAATTATATTTGAGAAGAAGACATACAATTAACCATTATTTCCACATGACATGAAGAAATCATTCGTAATTTACTACAAACAATTAGTACTAATAAACAAGTTCAGAAAAGTAACAGGATACAAGGGCATTATACTAAAGTCGATTATATTTTTTCTTTTCTTGTTTTTTTTAAACTTTGCCAAAGGATGTAAGCACTCACCAGAAAGAGAGACAGAGATAAATCAAGAGAGTATCCTCTATGTGGAGTAGTCATGCCACAATACCTTCTCTCCCATCTTTCTCTCCTTTCCAATATTCGGGCATGTATTCACCTATTCTAGGTATGTTCCTCAAACTTGGTCCAGGATTTGAACCATGTAATAGCCATGTGGGATCCAGAGGCCTTAATCACCAGGCCATTGAGTCAGCCCTTTAGAAATAATTTTTTTCTTGAAGAGGTTATGTTTGCTATAGGGCGCATGCACTCCCCAGAAAGACAGAGAGATACAGAAAGCAAGAAATCACTCCCCAAGGGGGATGACCACACCACAATCCTTTCTCCTCTGTTCTCCTCTCGGGATCTTGGGCACACATGTACACGCACCTGGCATGAGTTTAAGCCACCGGGTCTGGGACTCAAACTGCAGGCGACTACATGGGAGTCCAGTGACATAGCCATTACGCCAACTGCTGTTTTCTGAATAATTTTAACAAAATAAGTATAAACTTGAACACTGAAAACCACTAAGCATGGCTAATGTTGGAAACACCTTGACATAATTGCTGAGCCTCCTCTTCTTGTCTCTGAAAACTTTACCATCAGATATTGCATTGTACACATTCCTATTACTAGACATGAGCCCAAGGTGAGGGCTACACATCCAAATGTATTATTGTCTCCATTTTAACAGGTAAAAAACTGAAGCCCACAAAGTGAGGGAATGATATCTATACACTAGAAGGGGGAATGTTAGGAAGTGATTCCCTCCACCCAACCTCTGCCAATTATCATGTATTGAAAGAATTTCCTAATATACCAACAGGTGTTAAAGAGAGAGACCTTGGATCTAAGAGTGAGAAAGGCAGGCTAGGCATTCCAAATTAGAAAGTGAGAAAACACTGTGAAGGTAAGACTAAGTTCCTTGGGTCTGTAAGACAGAGTCACTGAGAGGCTATTTGTACCATTAGAGAAGACACAGGAATTTGAACAAGGCAGGACATATTAACAGGAAAAGTGAAAAACAGGGATAGGTCTTGAACAAGATCAAAGCTCTCACACTCCCAAACTTTGCCCACTTTTACCCCACACCCCAACTCATCACGCAAGCCCTCATCCATGCTGATCAATCAATATGGGCATGTCTCTGTTGGAAGAAAAGCTTGGTGGTAGCAAAAGCTCTGTGAAATCCCTATGCGGAACTCCTTGCCTGGTTTATGGTGGAAATAAGAGAAGGCTAGCTAAGTCAGGTACATCTCACACACACAGGCACACTCCGAATAACTAGAGATTTGTTGATAGAGAAAATATGAGAGCTTCTGGGCAAACAGTTATCAGATACTTGAAGTGAAAATGGGCAGAAGACTATGAAGTGCACCTACCCTCTGATATTGATATCTTATTCCAGTATATATACTAGACCGGTTTTCCAAGAGTATAATAGCCACTGACTACTTCAAATTAGTTTAGCAGGTAAGGATAACCATTTTAATTATTGTAAGAGAGTTACCGTATTAATTACTTGTTTTGTTTTTTAAAAAAGTTTTTTTTCAGGCATTAGAATGCATCTATGAAAAATAGATGCGAGTTCTACAACTGCAATAACGACAAACGAACAAAAACATAACATCACTTATTAATGTAATGACTAATTGGCCCACATGCAAATTTTCTCATTGACCCTGAAATATCAAACCAGAATTTAATATTAAAGAATCCGAATCCTACCCTCAGTCACTTGGATCGAGACCATGCCTCACGTAAGGTCCTGGTCTCCTGGCAACATGACTGTCAGCTGAGCACACAAACAAAACTTCAGGTTGGGGAGGAACAGAGGATCGCGAAGCCTTGTGGGAAATGTAGTCCCTCCTCCGAGGCCGGCCACAGCGCAGACAATGGGAGAGGGTATTCCGGGTTCTTCCTGCGCATGTGCAGCTCTGCTCGTTCCGGCGCGATACCGGGAGAAATCTGCAACCCTGGTGACGTTCTCTGCAGGCTGTCAGGTGAGATTCTGTATCCCTGAAGGTGGGTCCGAGTGAATGAGAAGCCTTGCGTTTCCCGGGAACCCTGGGAGTGGAAGGGTTTCCTTCCCCCTTGGTGGAGGCAGAAACATGGGTGCACATCAGTCGGGGGAGAAGGAAGGCCTGAGAGAAGGTGCAGCCTCTAGTCTGCGTTGGATGGGGAGGGCAATCGGAGCATCAACATGTACAGGGCCAGGGCAAGGAAAGAGGTGAGTGTGTGTTTTCAGGTGTACAAAAGCAGTTCCAGAAATTCTGAAACTGGGGTGGTCTTCTCCAAGATCGCCATGGGGTAGGGTGGGGAGGGGGCTGGTGGAGGGAAGCGTGGCAGCATGCTGGAGCTTGAGAGTTGGTCTTCAGCGAGTTCACCTTCCAGCTCTGCCACAGGAGCCTGTTGCTATTCTGTATCTCATTCGGTTTACCCATCTGAAGGATGAGCGTAGTTGCAGTACTAGTAAAATGCCCCAGGTTCCCAGAGAAATAACTGGAGACTTTGCAGACAGAGACTTACGAAAGCGCCTGTGTTGTGGAGTGTTTTGCTGTCCTAAAGCAAGTGAAGCTTCTGGTCCCCTTCTGAACTTCTGTGGCCTGCCTAGCACTCTTGGGTAGCTTTAAGGAATCATATACAAGTCCCAATCCCAGCATCTAAGGACAGTGATTTCTAGGAGGGAATTCGGTATACTGGACGATGTTACAGTTTTCTTTGGGATAAAGAAGGTGTCCCATAGTTAGAAGGGGGAGAAGGTATGACAGGGTTCCACATGAAAGATCACCCCTATGACCTGAACCGTGTACTAGTGATTCAGAGTTGGTGGCTTGAGAATTACCCCTGCACCTGTGTGTGCATGCCCAAAATCCCAGCAGGAGAGTGGAGGAAAAGAGATTGTAGTGTGGCCATCCCTCCTGGGGGGTGATTTCTCACTTTCCCCACTGTCTTTGACGCTTTTCAATGAGTGCACACGCACTGTGGCAAAACCCTGTAAAAATGAAAAAGAGCATTTGTTTACTTGGAATATTTTTTTTGTGACACTAAAATGAACTTAGCACACCTTGCTTTAAAATACCTTGCCTTAAACGTATCTATTCTTTAGCACATTCTATGAATTATGTGGCTTCAAAAGGTAAATAATAAAGATGTTTCCCAACTAATATTAATAATCTGTTCTTAAAAATATGCATTTTAGTCAGCAGGTGGTATGAAGATTAAGACAGCTGGATCCTACATGGCTGGACCTGGTGGCTTGAAATAAATGCCAGGCATGTGTGCATGTGTACCTAAAATCCTAAGAGGAGAATGGAGGAGAAAGGATTGTGGCATGACTATCTCCCTGAGGGCTGATTTCTCACTTTCCTGCACTCTCTCTCTCTGTCTCTTTGTCTTTCTCTGGCAAGCACTAGTGCACTATATCAAATAAACAAAACATTATAAATTTTTCAAGGAAGTTTTAAGAGTCTATTTTACATTATGGACAATTAGACTACATGACTTTTACTTCAAGCCCATTTTTTTGTAATTTAAATAAGGTATAATACAGTGCTCACATATAAGTAGCAGATACTTTTTCTTATGTACAGAGACTTTGATATAAAAAAACTTAAAACTTAATCTAACAATGAGCCCACAGTTGCCTCTTGGGTTTCACATGTTCTCTAGCAGCACCAGTGACCGCTCCCCGATGTCCATACAGGTGACATTCATTGTGATTTTCAAAAATTCTTTACATGGGGACCAGCAGTTAGCGTAATGGCTATGTCGCTGGACTTCCACATAGTTGACCGCGGTTCACATCCCAGACCCAGTGGCTTAAAACTCACACCTGGCGCGTGTGCGCGCGTGCCCAAGATCCCGAGAGGAGAATGGAGGAGAAGGGATTGCGGCATGGCCATGCCCCCTGGGAGGTGATTTCTCACTTTCTGTCTCTCTGTCTCTCTCTGTCTGTCTGGCGAGTGCATGCACCCTATAGTAAAAAACCTCTCAAAAAAAATTATTTACATGGTGGTAAAGTTCTATTTATTGTGTTTGACATGTAACTTAAAACTTTTGTTTTTCACTTAATATTGTTAAAAACATTGAGGGCCAGTAGCTGGCATACTGATAAGGCACTGGACTCCCACATGGTCACAGTTTGAGTACCAGAACTGGTGGCTTAAAACTCAGGCCAGGCACAAGTGTATGCGTACCCAAAATCTCAAGAGGAAAAGGGATTGTGGCATGGCCATCCCCTACCCTAGGCAGTGATTTCTCACTTTCTCTTCATCTCTTTGACGAGCCCTTGTGCCCTATAGAATAAATTTCTAACAAACAAACAAACAAAAAAAAACCTGAGTGCTGGGGGCTTAAATGTATCGCTTAGCATTTTCTGCATAGGGACCAAACTCAGTGGCTTCAAACCCAACCAAATTATTTGCTCCAGGGTCCATGGGCCTGCATTTTGGGGTGGGTTCAGCTGAGCAGTTTCTCTTTTAGTGTTGCCTAGATCACAAATGAGGAGGTTGTGGTCACAAGGTACCTTGAGAGAGTCTGATTGATTTTTTTTTTTTTTTAGAGGTTTTTGCTACAGGGCACATGCACTTGCCAGAAAGACAGAGAGAGACAGACAGGAAGCAAGAAATCACCACCCCCCCAAAGGGAATGGCCACACCGCAGTCCCTTCTCCTCCATTCTCCTCTCTGGATCTTGGTCATGCACACACACCTGCCCAGTGTGAGTTTAAGCCACCGGGTCCGGGAGTTGAACTGCGGTCGACTACATGGGAGTCCAGCGACATAGCCATTATGCTAACTACTGGTCCTGAGTCTGATTGATTTAAGGTGACCTCACTCATGTCTAGTGATTTGTGCTGACTCGGTTAGGCCCTGTGTCTCCACCAAATTAGCCTCAGGTTTTTTCCCATTATTGACTCTAACCAGGAAAAGAAGCACTAGTGAGCACAAACTTTTCAAACCTAAATTTGCACCACTTTCTCTTTTTTTGTTTGTTTTATTCACAGTATTGAGAGGGAGAGTGAGAGAGGTGCACATAGAGTTTTATCACTCTGTAACTGCAATACTATTTCCCCAGCCCTTCAACTCATCAGGATCTTAAGGTCAGCCCTGTGACTTCCAAACTGCAGTTACGTTGCTATTGACAGTGCCTCCAGGCTGGGCCTGCATTGCATTTTCTAGTGTCTCATGAACCAAAGCAAGTCAAATGGCAAAGTGCAGTTTATTGTCAGAGTATGCTATATGAGAGCTTGGACAAGGAAATACGTTATTGGAAGGCATTACTGAAACTGTACCATAAGAGATTACATTATGTACATTGTTTTTAAAGTTTGTTTATTTTTTCCATGAGTGAGATTGACAGAGATAGAGAGAGACAGCACACCCAACAGCATCCCAATGCTGCATTAACCCCCAAATTTAGCCAGCTCTGGATCATGGGCAGATGGGTCCCCAGTGTATTCAGGGAGGTATCTGGACTAGAACTAAGAACCTTCTCATGTCAGTCACCATCCCAGAGTGTTACATTTTACCATTGCATCATTCTCCATCCCCTTTTAAGTATATGTATTTTTTTCTTATTTAATCACAGGTTAAACATTTTAGTTTGAAACATGCCTACTTACCATATTTTGGTATGTGGAATTATGTAGTAGAAACACCCATATAAATTTCTGTATGAACTTTTTATATTCATAGAAAATAATTACTACTGCTCAAGTCCAGGTCTATGACATTTAGTGGAGACATGAGTTCAAAAAGGGAGCAAGGTGTAGCAAATAGAAATAAGAAGCAAATATAACCAGATTGAGGTACTGTAGCAAATAGAGACAGAAACCCAAGAGTTAATACAGCTTAACATTTACATCAGAATCTCCCAGATATTGCCTTTCATTCATGTTTTTCACCAAGCTAGAAAAGTACTGACAAACATCACTGCAAACATAAGAGCTATGTTTCTAAATGTAACCACCACCACCCCCCCCACCACCACCCCCACCACCCGGCAAAGGAGACTGATACAGTTCTCAGGCTACATGCTGGCCTTGGAGAGTTGTCGTCAATTCACTTGCTCACTTTTTAATTGGATTTTTTTTAATGAGTGAGCAACTTAAGTTCCCTATATATTCTAGATATCAATCCTTTATCTGAAAAATAATTTACAAATATGTTCTCCCATTCCAATTGTTGTTTTTTCACCTTAGTTTTAGTTTTCTTTGCTGTGAGGAAGCTTTTGTTGTTTGATGTAACCTGACTTGTCTATTTGAGGGACCATTGCATGTGCTTTAGGGGTCTAATTTAAGAAATCTGTGCCTATTCCAATGTCTTCTGATTACTATTATTTTATAACCTATGTATTTATATGTGTGTGTTTGTGTGTATGTTATCATACAAGATATAAATTTCTGTTATCAAAAACATTTTTTAAAAGACAAAAACTAATAGTCTACAGGTCAATGAGTTATCATTAAGAAAACAACATGTAACTATGACTTAATTCAAGAAATGGGACATTACCAGGCTAGCAGGTGGCATGGTAATTAGAGTGCTAGATTCCATGTTGCCAACTCTGTGATCTGAGTCCCAGACGTGGTGGCTTGAAAAGCCTACTTATGAGAGTGATCTGTGTTTCTATTGATTTGGGCCTTTGATACTGTTTCTAAATTGTATAGTTTTGGGGGAGGAGGGGAGATCATGCACATTTTTTTCTTTATATTTCTAGGTATGTTTTATTAGATTTTATGTATCTTTTAAAATTTGTATTTGTTTTTGTTCCCAGATATATTAATTCCAGCAGATACGGAATTAGCTGAGCTACTTGGTGGCATAGAAAATGCACCTCCATCAAGCGTGGTTGCCTAGAAATTTGTCATTGAAAAACATTAGTGGAGGGACCAGCAGATGGCATAGTGGTTATGCTGCTGGACTCCCACGTAGTTGATCACGGTCTAAGTCCCAGACCCAGCCACTTAAAACGCACACCAGGTACATGTGCATGTGTGCCCAAGATCCTGAGAGGAGAATGGAGGAGAAGGGATTGCAGCATGGCCATCCCCCTGGGAGGGATTTTTCGCTTTCTATCTCTCTGTCTCTCTCTGTCCCTCCTGCAAGTGCATGTACCCTATAGCAAAAATCTCTCAAAAAAAAGAAAGAAAATTTTTAAAAAGAAAGACACTGCTGGAAAAATGTACTATAATAAATATACATAATGTATATGTTTTCATATACAGTCTTAAGCAAAAAATATTAGATTACAGGATGCACACTTTTGCTAAGGTTTAGGCATATAAATGTAAGAAGTGTTCTAGGGACCAGCTGTTAGCGTAATGGCTATGTCGCTGGACTCCCACGTAGTTGACCGCAGTTCACGTCCCAGACCCGGTGGCTTAAAACTCACGCCAGGTGCTCGTGCGTGTATGCCCATGATCCCTAGAGGAGAATGGAGGAGAAGGGATTGCTGTGTGGCCATCCCCCCTGGGGGGTGATTTCTCGCTTTCTGTCTCTCTCTGTCTCTCTCTGTCTGTCTGGCAAGCGCACACGCCCTATACCAAAAACCTCTCAAAAGAAAAAAAAAAAAAGAAGTGTTCTAGAGGAAGCACTAATACAGGGTCCTGAGTGTATGTCTGTATTAATAGTAATGTAGTTGATACTGACCAAGTGTTTTTCTATTAAGTAAATTTTAGTGAAAGCATTTGGAATACTGTAATTTATTTAAATAACCATTCTTAAATTTTTAAATTATTTTTCATCAGTGATTTTTTTTTTACTGAATCAGTAGCAAATACATAATTTATAATAAGTTTAAGTTTAATATGTGTGTTTCATTTATTTCTACCAATGAATAGCATTGTAGGTGCCCCTTCAATTAGGTCTTTTTACCTCATTCTTAACATGCAAGTTACTATCCTCCCATAAGAAGTCTTTCTTTAATCTGAAGAGAGATTTTATAAGGGAATCTTGGAACATGCAACATCGTTTCTCTGTGACTCCCTTCATTCATCTTCTCTTTCAGCTATAATTCTAGAAACATCTACATTTGTCTAGGACCAAGATAATGAATCCATTTTTGGTAAGTTGTTTACTGATTTCTCCACTTGTTTTATATTGTGTTTAAGGAGCTTTATTAGCATTCATAAATAAAAATGGAAAAGTGAAAAAGTTAAAATTCAGCATCATAAAAGCATACATAAAACACATTGGGTTGTTAGAAAAGTCATGTATTTTTTGCATAGAAAACCAGGAATATACATCATGAGTTTTCTGACAACCCAATGAAACAAAATTAAGTTGGCATGGTGACATAGATTTTAAGACCATAGAGCCATGTATGAGGAGTGCAAATTGGTCTCTAGTCTTTCTGATACCATAGGATAAACATATTTATTATATGATTTGAGTTGACCCTAGGAGCACATGCTCAATTCTCAACAGGTATGAATTTTGAAATAGTCTTTATTGATCCTATAGATGATGTAATGAACAGTGTTTTCACAACTAACCCAGAATAAACACTCAGCATTCTACAGTGATAACTGTTACTGATTGCTAAAACACAAACCAGTCAATAGCTTTTTCTAGAGTTGTTAGTATAGCATAGTCCCAGGCAACTTTTGGAAATCCCCACTTGATGCATAGATTAAACCTGGAATGTGTGGATGTTAGAATCTACTGCAGGTTCCTAAATAACTCTCCATACATTTCTCTCAACCAGTGTGTATGTGCAGATTATGCCAAAGACTGTCCAAAGTTATATTTCTTGACAAATATAATGATACACTGTATTTCATTATTTCAGTGATATACAATGTATATTAATGTGGTCCAATAAGATTATGATGAAACTGAAAAATTTCTGTACCCTAGTTATGGTCATAGCTGTCAAAATCTTGTAGAGTAACACATTACCCATGTATTTGTGGTAATGCTGGTGTAAACAAACCTACCATTGCTCCAGGTGCATGTAAATATGCATATACAGTTATAATCAGTAAATATACAACATTTGTTTCCATTTTAAAATTATGATTCTTGGTTTACATTATATGCCTTCGTGGAGTACAGTATGGTTTTTCATATTACAATATGATTGGCTTTGGACCCTTTTTTAAATTTCCTTTCCTGCATAGAAATATTTTATTATGTGTAATTATATTTGTCTATTTTTGATGTTGTCCATGTCTCTTAGGTCTTATTTAAGAAATCTTTGCCTACTCTAATATGTTGAAGTTGTTCCCAACTATATTTTTCTCAAGTAGTTTTGTAGTTTTAGCCTTTATAGTAAAGTTTTTAATCTAAGTTAATTATAACTGGTAAGAAATTATCTAGTTTCATTCTAATGTTGGTCAGTTCTCCCAGAACCACTTGTTGAAAACAATTTTTAACAGGATTGACCTGTGATCTCTGTTTAAGATTAGTTGACTATACATTATTAAGTTTATTTATTTTTATTCTATTCAATTGGCTTATATGTCTGTGTTTGTGTCAGTACCATGCTGTTTTGGTGATTATGGTTTTGAAATATATTTTGGAGTCAGGTAGTAAGATGCCTCCAACTTTATTCCTTTTGCAGAGTATTGGTCTGGTTCTGTGGGTCTTTTGTGATTCTGGACAAATTTTATAATTACTTCTGTGTAGAATTTAGCTAGGTACTTTTTTTTTTTTAATAGAAATTGCATTGAATTGTAGATCTCTTTGGTTACTATTGACATTTCACCTATGTGGATTCTTCATATTCATGAAGAAGGGATATCTTCCCAGTTTTTGTATAGTTTTCAAGTAACTTGTTCAGCTTTTATAATTATTTTTTCATAGAGATCTCTCACTTTGTTGGTTAGATTTATTCTAGAATATTTTTGTGGTTATTGTAAGTGTGATTACTTTCTTCATTCCTCTCTTAGTTCATACTTAATTATTATAGAAAAAATGCTACAGGTATTTTTAATTGCCAGAGAGCTTATTCACATGCCAGAGAGAACAGTAGAGAGATGGAGAGACAGGGAGAGAGAGAAAAGCACTTCCTTGTGAGGCATGGAAGGGCCATTGTGGACTATAAACCTACCCGAGAGCTATCCTCTGGACTAAACTGACACAGCCATGGTCCTCAGGGTATGTTGTAATCCCTTTTCTCCATTTCTCCTTCCCATCAGGAATTTGGGCACACAAACACACACAGACCCAATGTGTTTTCCAAGCCACCAGGGTTTGGGATTCAAACCACAGTCAGTCATGTGGGATCTGTCTCCATACCCATAGTACTTAACCACTATGCAATGGGGCTAGCATACTGTAGCTTTTTGTATGCTGAATGTAATCATGTATAATGTATTCTGCAACTTTGCTACATTTATTTCATTTAAGAGTTACTTGGTGGATTCTTTTAAGTTTTTCTATATATATAATCATGTCAAGCATAAACAAGGACAGTTTTACTTTTTCCTTTCCAATCTGAATGCCTTTCACTTTGTTCTATCTTGTCTAATTGTATTAGCTAGGACTTCCTTTATCTATGTCAAATAGAAGAGGAGAAAGTGGACGTCTCTGTCATATTCTAGTTTAAAAGGGAAAAAGTTTCCATTTTTTTCTCATTCAACATTATATTAATTGTGAGAATATCATACATGGCCCGTATTGTGTTAGGAAATGTACCATCTATGCTGTTTTGTTGAGTCATCATTAAGGAGTATTACACTGTATCAGATGATTTTTATATGTCAGTTTATATGATATGGTTTTTTCTTTCCTTCACTTAATGTGATGTATTACATTTACTGTTTTACATATGTCAAACTATCCTTGTATTCCAGGAATAAATTCTACCTGTTTGTGATGCATAGTATTTTTAGTGTATTGTCGGATTTGTTTCAGTTACGTGAAACTAACTTTATGCTTACGTAGATAAGTGCTACTTTTGGCAAATCTTCTTGTACATTCCTGTTAGTCTCTGGTGTTATTTTCTTTCAGCCCAGAAAGCCTTTAGCTTTCTTCCACTGTTGTTCTATTGGTGATGAGATATCTTATTATATTTTTAATACAAAAGTTGCATTTTTCTTTTTTTTTTTTTTTCTTGAGGGCATCCTTATTCATCAGAAACACAGAAGGAAAGGAGAAAGCATCCCCCAGAACCAGCTTCCAATAAGCCATTTTCAGTTCTTTCTGGGTAACATTGGGTTTGACCCCTAATATATTGTAGTGAGTGATTTCTTTTACCCATATCTATAGACAGCGAGTGGGCTAAAGTTGGTGCGGGAGCCGTGTGCAGCTCCAGCAGTCATTGCTTCTCCTTCTCAATGAGCATTCTGGAAAGTTCCTGAATATACTTCTTATAAAGTTTATTTTGCTACCAACAGTCTTCATTTACAAAGTTTGAATATCTTCCTTAAAGTACACAAATTTATTTATGCATTTATTTATCATCCTTTTCTGCTACCTGAAAAATCTGGATTCATTTGGGTTTCATTTGAGTGGTTTCACTTCTTTTTTTTTTTTTTTTTTTTTGAGATGTTTTGCTATAGGGCGCTTGCGCTCACCAGACAGACAGAGAGAGACAGAGAGATAGAAAGCGAGAAATCATCCCCCAGAGGGAATGGCCACGCCACAATCCCTTCTCCTCCATTCTCCTCTCGGGATCTTGGGCACGCACGCACATATGCTTGGCGTGAGTTTAAGCCACCGGGTCCGGGACTCGAACCTCGGTCGACTATGTGGGAGTCCAGCAACATAGCCATATGCTAACTGCTGGTCCCCATGAGCGATTTCACTTCTTAAGTATAGGCCACATTTTGCTGTTATTTTACTGAATATTTATTCTGAATTTTATCATAGATATTATAAATTATACATTATAGAGATTGTGAATAATGTTATATTTCTCAAAAGGTAAATTTTTATTCTATAAGATGGTTAACTGGCTGGATCCAAGTTCTCAATTCTGTATCCCCTGCAGTGATCAGAAGCTGATTCTTCATTTTTTTCAGCTTCTAGTGACTGCTTTTTTATAGACCCCTCTGAGTTCTATATATTTTTATTTTAATAGACAATGGTTTTGATGAGTTCTCTATGCAAATTCGGGGGGGTATATTATTTGGCTTCCTCTTCTTTAGGACTTATGTCTTTCTCTCCAAGTTTCTGGTTGCGTTCTCAGTTCTGAACATTACTTTCTGACAACTTGAGCCAATAAAGATGCAGCTTTTTACTTCCTTGATCTGTGTGCAAACTGGAGAGTTCCCACTTGTAAAATGTCCAAAATTTAGAGTTTGTCTTTTAAAAATTCCTTCAAACCTGGGACCAGCAGTTAGCATAATGGCTATGTCGCTGAACTCCCATGTAGCCAACCGCAGTTCGAGTCCCAGACCTGGTGGCTTAAACTCATGCTGGGCGCATGTGCGAGCGTGCCCAAGATCTCAAGAGAAGAATGGAGGAGAAGGGATTGCAGTGTGGCCATCCCCCCTGGGGGTGATTTTTCGCTTTCTGTCTTTCTGTTTCGCTCTGTCTTTCTGGTGAGCGCACACATCCTATAGCAAAAACCTCTCAAAAAAAATAATAATAATTCCTTCAATCCACTTCTGTCCTTATTTTAACTATTCTTCAGTAGTTCCTTAGATGGTTCTGCTCTACATTTTTATGTGTGTGTGTCTGTGCATGTACATACGTATTTGTTTTTTTTAAAGACCGTTCTTTTGGCTAAACCCTTTGCCATTATTTCATGAGCCTTGCTACTTTGAAATTTTTCATAATGTAATATCTGTATTCTCCTATTAATCATTAAATTTCTTCTTTCTGTATCATAGCTTCATTTTCTCTACCTGGACTGTTTCAAATTTCGTAAGTCTAGTATTTTTTTACTACACAAATCAAGTCTTTCTTCTTTGAAAGTAATTATAATTTATACAAAACAAATAAAGGGAAATCATTGAGTACATTTTAGATTTAATGCACTTCCTGTTTATATATGGCTCGTGAACTTTTTGTTGACGTAAGTGTAATCTTTCTGAAATGGTTGTCCTGTGAATTCACACTATTTATCTTTGACTTTTAATGTACCTTCAAATATATTGCACCACTTTGTATATC